CCCCAAAACCCCAAAACCCCAAAACCCCTAGTTACTAAATTATAAAAACTCAAGCTATACAAAAACACCTCTCCAAAGACCCACAAATGACTTTCTATTCCAACCCAACACCAAAAGTCCACCCATAAACCCCCCATCTCCTACTCAACATCAACATCTAATAACCCTTAACACATCATTCTCTGTCTCTACCAAAACCCAAAATCCTGTACAAACTCGGCTCTTTAGAACCATTACATCTCTAAGTTCTTTAGGCTTGCGAAGTTTCAGCTCTAGGTGTAATTTTAGTCATGAGGTTAACTTGGAATTTTAGTCTGAAGGAGTAATGCAGGCTATTACTGAACTTTTTACTCCCTGTGAGTTTTACTCTGTTTGAACTGCACAAACTTTATGTACAGTTCATCTTCTGGTCTGGGAGGATGACTTTGGTCTAGCTCTGCAGGGAGCTTAAGCTTCTTGTCCAGTTGGCGCAGCGTGCGTCTCTAGAATGGGGTTAGTAAGGAGGGGGCGTACGTAGTGTCTTTGGGGTTGCTCTTTTTGGACAAATGGGTTTTCGAATATGTTTTCTATGGTGTTTTTGAGGGGTTTTACCATTTGGTGTTTTGAATTTGTTGTCTATGCATCCGTAAATTCCTCTATTTTTGAAAAGACTCGCTTTTTGGGAGATTTTAGAGGGGGAGCCTGTGTTTGTGAATTTGGATTGGGTTTCTGTAGACTCTTCCTTAGCATCCCTCACAGGGGTGTTTTCAGTAGAAGGTAGGTTTTCATGGAGTTCAGTGTCCTAGATATTAAATAGAAAGTTTACTTCTACATATTTGTGGGTGACTAATTTATTAGTCTTGTATTTGTTCATTAAATTCTTGACCTCTTGAATATCCTTGTTCTCGCCTTCTGGATAGTTAATTGGAGAGACCATTTTTGAGCTGACTCCTAAATTTTTGGTGCTAGCAAGACTTTTAGAAGGAGTTATGCTGAAATCAGGATGAAGGTCCCTTCCATTTTTATCGTATTGTTCAGTGCCAATCTGAATATTGAGGTTCTTTCAGCTTCGAGCATCTCTCATTGTTTTTGGCCTGAGATGTCTAGCAGTTTGAAAATTACTAATTTTAGAGTTAGGTTTTCTTCGAACTCCTTGAGAAGTTTTACAGGGCTTTCAACCCCTGAAACCAATTATGTCACTAGTCTTTCCAAGTATGGTGAAGCAGTCTTTGATCTTGAGCTCTCCTATAGCTTGTTTGGAGTACCTATTATCAAAGAATCGTTCACTGTCAGAGAGCACAGGAATTCTTTGACAAGAATTAAGTCCTCTTGGCAATGCATAATTGTTGACAAGGTAGTTATCCTTTTTATTTAAGGAAGTTAAACGTTCTGTCTTCGCTCATTAAGATATTTGAAGAGCTTTTAGATTGATTTAGAAATTCATGTTGAGCTATTCTCATGGTTTGCTCTTGCATGGATTCTCTTTTCTTGCTTGTTTCGGCTGCTGAGGTTCTCTCTTCGATTTTATGAGACTATGCATGATGTTAAGATTTTACAACTAATTTCTTTGGCTTTTGTTTAGAAAAGCTCTGCTTATTGGATGAGATCTTTTTCTTGATTTTGATAGCCTTATTTGAAATATCCTTGTTATTCTCTTTTTGGGCTGATGGGTCTTCCTTCGGATCAGGCTTGTCCTCATCTCTGAGAACCTTTTTAGACACCTTTTTAATTATTTTAGATCTAAAATAGTCACTGTAACTGTACTTTTTGAGAAACTTTTGGCTTTTTGAAGACTTGTACTTCCTTCTAATCTTTTTCTTCTCTTGAAGGATGTCAAGATTCTGAGAAGTTACTTTAGCTTTTGCTAGTTTTGGAGCCATGTTAACGACAGGACTTGAACCAGAGTTACGTTCTATATGATATTTATTCACATAAATACTAGTTTCAAAGTAATCGTGTTGACTTAGTGTATCAAAGTCAAAGTTTATCATCTTTGGGGTGCCATTATCCCCCTCTACTGGCCTGGAGACCATCCCTTGCAAAGGAGAGTTGGTCTCATCGGGATCTCTAATTTCTCTTGATGGTGTTTTAAATGAGTTTTCTAATGCTACTTCTTTAGTTTTGGCAAGTTTTCTTTTGTTCTTGAATTTGGACAATTTTACTTTGGGCTTTGGCTTGAAGATTTTTGGAGGCTTTTTACATTCCTCCACTTTGAGTTTTGGAGGAGGATCTATCTCTGTTGAGTTCCGTTTCTGGGGAGGTTTAGGAGCATTGTACTTCACTTTTTCAATTTTGGGGGCTGATTCTAGGGGTACTTTCTGGCTCAAAATTCCGATTTTTCCGAATGTAACTCCTACATATTTCATTGTATAGTTTTTAGAGGGCTCTTTCTCTTCAAAAGTGGGATCTTCTGAATAATTACCCTCATTTTCTAGAAAGATTACAAATTCGAAACTACTAAGGGTACTCAGGCTCATCTTTTTGTCAAAAGAATTCATGACAGGGATTTCAATGATATTATTTGACCTTTTAGGTTTCTGGTCATGGATTTGTTTCTTTCTGAGATTTGCAGCGCTTTGAGATCTAATTTTTCCTCCTTGAACTCTTCCCATGAAGTTAAGGTATTCTTCATTTGTTGGAGAGATAGAATCTGAATGTTAAAGGTAGATTCTGTTACTCAGATTTAGTCTTGGGCTAACTTCTAGCTTTGCTTGTGGATTATTTTTGGTCATTAATTTCTGGAAGGCCTTTCTTCGTTCTATTTTGTAAAATCCTGGTATTTTTGTTATAAAGTGCTCCATCTAGAGTTCTTTACCAAATTTACCCTGTATCATTACTTGGTAATAAGTATTATGATGATCTTTTTGGGAAATGCTATTTGAGAGATTAAGCAAGTTTTTATTAAGAAAAGTATTCATAAGAGCTTCATAATTTGGAATGCTTTAAAATCGGAAAGAAATCTCTGGAAATTAGGGATTAAAACTTTGAACGGGATTGTTGGGGTAATATGGCACAGGCTCAATGCTCTTTACCCTTGATTTATATCTAGGTTTCCTTCATTTTGATGGATCTTAGTTGCAATTATTTTATTTGTACTTCTCAGAGAGACTAGAGAACCAGTTGACCTTTTTCTTGACGTCTGGTTGAGTACCTATGCTCATGATGGGTCATTGAACTCATACCTCTGCTGCTGGAGACTACATGAATTTCCATAAGAATTTATTTAAATAAAAAGGGGTTTTGGGGTTTTGGGGTTTTGGGGTTTTGGGG